CTTGGCCTACAATAACATTTTTATATTTATTGTTATTAACATGAAAATGTGCCCTTGCTTCTATAAAAGCTAGACTGTCATTCAGAAAGTGATGATGAGGTCTAATACAGTGGGTTTTTTTTTCAGCCAGGTACCCTTGGGTGCCAAGAAATCCTTTTAAGGATCTGGCAATTCCTAGCATTGTGAGGCATGCAAACACCTACGCACAGTTCACAAGATAGGCCCAGAAATTTCAAATTGGAATCCGGTGTATCAAAAACATTCTGATCCATTGTGGTCTTTCTGGGATCTTTGCAACAGAATCATTGCGCTACTATTTTTCTAAAGTCAAAAAAGGAGTGAAAGCTGAGAGCCAGCATTTTCCAAAGGGTGCCGTGGGTCTAACAAGGGCTGCCATGAATCTAAAAAGGTTGAGAACCACTTGCCTAACATTATATGGGCAAGACAATTGCAGCATATTAACTTATGCTGGCTGTGTGTTAGTTCCATATTGACAAACTTTATTATTGATGTTTAAGACCTCAAAGGCAGCAGATCCATCATATTGGATTGATATCTAGTTACCCTATATCCTCAGCCTGTTACTATGTTCTGGTTTATTTTCATATTGAATTTCATCTGCATATAAGCTTGAGGTATAGAGTGTTTATCTTCTAAGCCCCTGATCTTTACTGCTTGATATTCATGAAAAAAATCACACATGGAAGCAGAACAGAATCAGGTACATATAATTGATAGGAGCTTTTGACATTTGTTTTTATATATGATTTGGTTTCACTGAGTCAGGTCCTTCCTATAACATTGTTTTGCTCTTCATATTTCATTTAATTCATTCCTACTCTTATTTCATTCTATTTGCAGTTTAGATATATTACCACTATTGTGGAACTCTGCCATACTATGTTTGTCAAACTTTCTAAAACACCTATTTCATATTTCAGGGAACATTTCAGCCTGAAAATACTGTTGTTAAAGTTATATTTCAATGAAAAAAATGATTTGAAAAGAACTACCTGACTTTAGCATCATTAATGCCATGCTGTAATTTCTTGTCTACCTCTTCTTCTCTGGTTGAAATTAGTATTTTGAAAAAACAGGTAATAATTTAGTAATCGGTTCTGATAATTTTCTGGACTGTGTACTGACTTGTTAATAACACTAGATAGAAACAGACATCGTTTAATGAAGTGGTTCAGCTGTAATGCGTCACAACTGAGAGCATTCGTGAGCTCATTCTGGACTGATGAATGAAAATGAATATATTAACAATATTTCCTTATAATATACATGCAGAGTTTACAATGTTTCTTCCTTATCATATATGAAGAATTTTTAAAGTCAGCTTCTGCTCAACTAATAGATATGATTGATTTCATTGGTATCTAAGGAAAAAATGTACAATTTCTTTTCCTCACAGGCCTTTCATTTTCTCAACATATTTTGTTATGAATACTTCAAAAGAACTGCTTCAGCCCATAAGTTGTCTATTAATCAGAGATTAGTGTTTTGTATATATTTTTAATTACATAAAACTATTCTTATTCTGCATGTGCATGCGGTTGGCATCACAAAACTGCTCATTATTAGACTGCACAGTTATTTTTCATCTTACAAATTAAGTTTAGCGAGCAGCCGCTTTCACATATTGTGTGTCAGCTGTGCTCACAGATTCTATATTTCTATCTACAAATCAGTTAATGATATGCCCAAACAAGCAATTAGGCACATCGCTGTCAGGTTTGCACATGGAAATGACTGTACACATGTTTGAAATGTATGGGTACATGCAGACGTTATACTTAGATTGACCTAATTTAGATTGACTTAGATTCATCTAAATGCAGATCTGTACAGATGTGTGGGGAGGTCAGATGGAGCGAAATGGCTGGCCTGATCTAACTTAGTTAACCTGAGGAGATGAACAAAGTTAGATTGGGAACAGGTTCGCCCGATCTAATGAACATCTGTACATGTCCAGAGTGAAGCCCCAGGGCTAAGAAAGCCCAAATACTCATCCTAGTTCTGGGGCTGTGCTCTTTCTACCCAACCACCTTGATCAGGCTATTTGAGCCCCCTGCCCAACACTCCTCTCAGACCTTCCAGCTCCCTGCCAACCCTCTCCCACCCTGTCTTACTTGGATCAGGCCCCCAGCATGGCTTCTGGCACAGGCAAATATCACATAAGCGAGACCCGATCTACCAGCACATGGTTTAAAGTAAGACGCAGGACTGTAGGTGAGGTCCTGTGAAGGTGTGCATGTACCCTAGGAGTACAAGAGACCTGAGCAGATGAAAGTGAGTGAATCTTAAAGTATTTCAGGATTTATACATAAACTGCTTCCTAAAAAAAAGGTGTTTTACAAGAGTCAGTATATTATTAATGGGGAAACAGATATAGAAAGGTGATAAGGATAGTTGAAAGTGAGCCAATAATATTGTCAAAAGCAGTCTTGGATATCCTGACTTTCAGTTCCCCTCTACTATCAACATGAACATTATTGCTGTGTAATAGTATAATCATTGTATGCACCTTGAGCACGATGAGAAATGTTTAAAAAGCTGTTATGTCACACCTCTGAACCTTAAAAATTACTTTTCCATGTGTGATCCTACCGTGTTGTTGCTCTTGCAGGCTACAGTTCTTAAAAGGTATAACACAAAGCAAATAAAAGTATCAATTTTGCTTTAAAGTATATTAACAGTGCATTAAAGTGTGTATGTGCATACACATATTATGTTGCAAGTAATTGTGATGGATTGCAGAAGTTTATTTTTATTAAGTATCTATAGGCTATGGGTCAGATCATTAGCTAGTGCAAATCAGTAGAGAGACAGTAATTTATACAAGTAGAGAGTTTGGCCCAGGAAGAATGATGGTTAACATTGGTTCATGAAAGCGCAAGGTGAGATAAGGATATCAACTACTTCCCACCAACAACAAACAACAGTCTGGCTATAAGGAAAGGACACACTAGAATTTTCTGTCCTTGCAAATGAAATAAATTGTTTTAATTAATTTGTAGCTGGATTTTAGATGACAAAATTAAAACTGACATTTAAACTGACATCCAATTAAAATTAGTTGTTTGTCCAGTTCTGCCAATAATCCCAATAGTTATTGGCAATACATCGGTGATACAGTTGAGGTGCTATATTTAATATAATCCTTGAGTCTTGGTCATTCTTGCACTTTTGTCTGTGAACTAGAGACTGTTGTCAAAATGTGTTTACATAAAAATTCCCTTAATACTCTGACCATATTTGTGAACTCACTGCTATAATAAACCTTTTTTTTTTGTGCTTTAGGTATACAAAGATGAAGACAGCAACAAACATCTATATTTTCAATCTGGCTCTCGCGGATGCTTTAGTTACCACTACTATGCCTTTTCAAAGTACGGAGTACCTGATGAACTCATGGCCTTTTGGGGATGTGCTGTGTAAAATTGTTATTTCAATTGACTATTACAACATGTTTACCAGCATATTCACATTGACCATGATGAGTGTTGATCGATACATTGCTGTGTGTCACCCTGTGAAGGCTCTGGATTTTCGTACTCCTCTCAAAGCAAA